ATCGAATAATATTTATGCCGTATTGTAACTCGTTTCTGTTAATCAATCTAGGGGGAAAGGGCGGACTTGAAGTAGAAAAGTACAGTAAAGTACAAAAAGTACTTCAAAGTCGCTCGAAATAGCTTAAAGTAGCTCGAAGTAGCTTAAAGTAGCTCAAAGTAGCTTAAAGTAGCTCAAAGTACTTTTTAATTACGTTTAAGTAGCTTCAAATTACGTCAGAGTACTTGAAATTATGCTAAAGTACTTTAAAGTATTCTTAATGATCTAGATATACATAGAACAAAATTAAATAGTGTTGAAAAACTATGAATGATTAGTTTATTCACTTTTGACAACAGTAAATACTAGTAAAACAGAAAAAAATGAAATAAATAAGTTTACTAATTATGACCAGATGTTTGTTGCATGACACGAGATAAACGATCACTTGATAATTTCGTTATCTGACTCGATTGCAGCCAGCAGGCCGATTGTTTGTGAAGATACTTCATATTGTCATTTATTTTGACTTTGAAATACGATTTTCTTATAGCAGGATTAATATTATCAACTATTCTTATTCCATTAAAATCTGATTTTGTTGAATTTAATATATTTTCATCATCATCACTAACACCGTCACTTTGAGCATCAAAAAGAATTCCATCAATAAGTTGGCCTGGTGCATAATTGATGATGTCATTATCTTCGTTTTCTTCATCCAATCCAAACTCGTCAGTGGTGTTATTTTCTGTTCGGAAAGAATAATTAATCATTCTTGAATTGTTATTTAACATGTCGAAGATATAACTACTTAAATCATTTAAACAATTTATTTTATGCTCATTTAATTTATCTAGTATTTTCGAATGTTTAACCAGGCGTAACGCTTGATCATATGCATTTGATATTAATTTTTGAATATCTAAAGTATCAATATTATCTAATTGATGTGATGATTGTAATGGATGTTCGCGTTTGTGTTTGTGATGTATGGGAAATGATAGATCTTTTTCCAAATGATTATGTTTAAATTGATTTAATATTGATAGTTTTTGTGAACGTCGCATAAAGTCTTTTACGGTAAAATTGACGACCGTTGAGGATGTACTGCTTAATGATCTTGCATCTCTAAATAATGACTCGCATGGTTGTGAATTGAATAAATGTATATTGATTAATGCTTGCTTTGGTAAATGTTGCTGTTTCACTAATAGTACTAAATATAGTAAATTGTGTGCGTTCAACTCAACAGACATATATGCAGGTCTAATAATAAAGTATTTGTTAATTTTATTTTTTCTCTTGCTTGTTATTTGGCTGGCTTTCGATGATTTCAAAGTTGATGTTTTTTCTAAGCAAGACCACCAAAGGCGACACACAAATACTACACACCATGCTGATTGAATACCTAAATACATAGAAAGTGTTAACAATTAATCAGTTTGACTTTTTTCGTCTCTAATGTTAAAAATGGACTTACGTTCATGACTACTTGTCGATTTATCAATGTATGCTTTTACTATCATTTTTAACAATGTTAAATAAACAACTGTCCCATTGCTATCTATACTATCATTAAGAAGATTTATTACATCGTCTGATATTAACTTAATACATGAATTATAATTTTGGCGATCTTTAGGATTAATATCACTTTTCGTCAAACCATGATCTAATTTTGTATAACTATTGTTATCGATTAGTTGTTCTATATGTGCCATACTAATTTTATCGTTCCCAATATATAAATCCGCTGTTGATGATAACAATCGATTACGCCATTTGGTAACGATATGTACCGGATCTTGAAAAAACAAGAAGAGTTGATTTCTACTAAGAAAAAACCAAATCCAGTCATTCGGTATATCTATTTTAAATGCATGTTGATGCTTGTCTAATTTGAAATTGGGTAACGATGCGAAGAAATTACTGGCAAGACGCATGGCACTTATGTATTTGTTATCTGCATCTATTTACAATTAAGATACATTTGAGAGGAACATTGTATAAATAAAATTTACCTGTAGAAAATCCGATAATGCGAACATCTTTATCTAAACAACGTTCAAAAATATACATCCATCGTCGTAAAATATCCATAGCTGTAAATTTGTTGTCAACACCATAAGCAGAGAGTAAAACTGGTTTCGGAAAATTTGTTGGATCATCTTCTGTTGATATACTTTGAAACATATGCACATTCAATAATGGTGCTGTTTCATTGGTCTTATAAATGATTTTAAAATCATCAAATGTATCAGCTTGATAATGTTTCATCAATGGAATACCATCAACAATTGGTGTTGTAAATCCAATGAATGAGTTTGTCGACGAATCGTATTCAACTTTAGGAATGATACCAGTAGTATCTTCAGAATAAAATCCAAAACCTGATTGAAACTTTTGAAGTGAGTCAAATTTAAATTCTGCTTCGGTTAAAGTCATATTCGATATATTAATTAAGTCACCAAGTGTTGACAAATGCGGTATACTACCAGGCATATTTAAACGAACGAACTCATAGCATTGTTTACCACCGAAAATATATAAGCATATGGCAAATTTTTTAATTAATTCAGTGTATCTAAAATTATTTGAAGATTGTGTAAGATTGAATACCACATTATCGATGAACATCGTTAAAAACCTATTTGCTTTGTTGTTGTTTTCCGAGTCATTTTGTTGATACCATCTAATTAAAGATTTTAAAAGCGGATGCTTGTCAATAAACTCGTTAGATATAAATGTATCTCGAGTTTCATTATTTTCATTTAGTGTTAATTCTTCTTTTAGCTTCTGGTTTAATAATTTGATTAAATATGATAAACTGGTTTGAATACCGGGTTTAACAAAATGTTGTCCAGTTTTAGATTTAAAATAAAATTCAGCTTTTATTTTATCTGTTTCTTCAGATTCAATTTGAAAAAATGCGAATACATCAGGTGTAGATAACAGTTTTCTTGCCGAATTAATTAGGTGTATCCGTAAAATATTGAATATTGAATCATCGGCTAATGCTTTAACAATAGAAAAAAATCATCATCCACACGTGTAAATATATCATTTGGTAAAACTGATGTATCAATTAATGAACTATCTTTGTCTACGCCGAAATTCATTTCGTACAATAAATTTTATGCGGATACCTAAAACAATTATGTTAATGTACATAGAAATAGAAGGTTTCATGTATAAGTACGTTACCGGAAAAGACTTTAAGTAACGATTGTAAATTTGCCTCGTTCAATTATTGTTAAACAGTTTGTTAATATGTTCAGAAAAAATAGGATTAGCACGACTGTTACTTGAAAATTTATCTGAAACAGATAATAAGAATATTTGAAATCATAAAAACGTTATCAACAAACTATTGAATCATTCAAAAGCAAATATTGATACGATTAGCAGTTATTTTATGCGTCCTTTTATGTATTTAACATAATAAGATAACTAGACTTTTGGATATATTGAAGTGTGTAATTTAGCTCTTCTTTTATTTTTATGTATAGCTTGATTGCGTTAATTTTGATCATTTTTACTAGACTCGTCATATCTTCCTATTGTATCAAAAATTTCTAACTTTTGTATGGTTGAATAGAGCATGACTTGACCTATGGAATACCACTCTTTTTCATTCTTTTACTTTTAGCCTAAGAGAGAAAATCGAGAAAGTCTCAAAAGGTGCAAAAAGAAACCTTTTCATGATAATACCTCACAGAGGCAACACCTGTTTGTGGTGAAAAGAATTTCAGATTAATGAGAATTAACAAATATGGATCTATAAATAGCACATTGTGAAATAGTTTTCAAATTTAGTAGAAAATTTCATTTTAAGGTCAGGATTGTAGACAAGCATACATTGCTAGGTTTTCAATGATATTTGCACCGTTCGAAAATCAAGTAAATATAACAACGGAGCCATGACCAGTCGATGCAGTCGTTAATCTATCAGTGAAGAATACTCAAATAAATAAGTTATTGTCACTTAGTTGGCAATCTGACTAATATTCGAGATTTGATAGCTAATAAACTGTGCAAAATTGTCGAAGTCTCTTGCCAATCTAGAGAATATATTTGATGAAAATCATACAGTTCGATAAAGCGATTCAAAATATATCTAGTTGTGTGCAGACAATGGGAGTTTACTGAACAACTAAGTTGTAATTAGCAAATTTTGATTTCAGAACTACCATTTGAAAAAAAATGTTTTGAGTGTTCTTCAAAAGTCACTGACTGCTCTACCTTAGATGCAATGTAAATCAATCGAAAATAGTAGCATTTGATAGATTGAGTTATTCTCTATCCAACTATATCAAAGTTAGAAATTTTTGATCTAAAAGAAAACTATAGAGAGTCTAGTAAAAATGATCAAAATTAGCGTAATCAAGCTGTACAACAAATTCATCATTTCTTGTAAGATGATAAATGAGAAAAAAAGCAGAAAAGAGACGGTCTTGTATTTAAAGAAGAAAAAAGAATCGAAAAAATAACAAATATGAACCAAATAGATCTGCATGAAAAGCAAATTTTATCGGTTTAATTAGGGAAATAAAACGTATATTTATGAATAAGTAACTGAAAAGTCATCTTGAATCATGTTGATAACAACGAATGAACGTTTGCGATCGCATTTAAAAAATATTCTTGACAAAAATACACCTTATGTAACATAATGACAGCAAGATCATAGACAGATTAATATATTCAATATAAAACAAAAGCAATATCTTGTCTAATTAATATGAAGCCGCAAATACATGTAGAAAATATGTTGATGTCGACATGTCGATATCGATTACTTATAATCCTTCATATTATTGAATTTTGATTTTTTATTTAATCTATTCCTTGAATAAAATAGCAGAAAATATCGTATTTTCATATTCAATATAATTGTCTTTTTATAATTATTATCCATAAAATATACTGCAAACTAACTATTTAATATCTTTCTATTAACAAATTAATTCTTCGAATCACATTTTTTTCCAAAATGTAGTGGTTTATATTATATTATTGTTTGCCAAAAATAAAATAACCTTTAACTATTATC